ATCTGGAGCTAAATTCCACCCCTAATAAGCTTAAAGTAAATCGCATATTAAACCATAGTGCTAAGCCAAGCTCTCGATCAATATGGTTTTAGTCAGCAAGAGTCCTGACGAGCTGAGTGCAATAAATTTACGAGCACCTAAAGATATGCTTAACTACAAGACTGAACTGACAGAGCATATTGTGATGTCTGTATAAATAAAATGCAAGAAGGAAAGTCCCTCAACAAATACACATAAATATAAATACGAAGTTAATCCACTGAGCAGGAAGGAGTTTCTCAACCATGGTTTGCAAGGCTACATACAGTATTTGTGAAATTTTTTTTCAACAGGGATGCACAACCAAGCTAATAAGAAATCTAGATTGCTGCTGAAGCATTGAACTGCTTGGGCTCTTCAAAGATAGCTAGCATGTTACCATAAATATTCAGGACATTACCTCTTTTAGCCTTATTAAAGGTATTTGCTTTAAATCTTCCCACATTGTCATTTTCATTAGTACTCAGCTATTCATTCAGAAACATACAAAGACAGAGAAAACACATGCTTACACATCTTGTAAGAGCTGCAGAAGACAGCACAGAGCATCCAGAGAATGACATTTAATAGGTTTGTACCACTACGGGGGAGTCAGACTCCTACACATGTAGCTTCAGTCCTAATCTCATAATATAGATAAACAAACATTTTTGTAATGCTGATGAAAAATAACTCAAGAATCATAATTTAAAAAACACAAAACCCCACAAGCCTGATCATCAGCAACTGTTAAGGACAAAAAAAGCTGAAGTAGGAGTGCTAACCCTTTAAGACAAAAAATTTTAAATAAAAATTGCTAACTTTAAGCAGTAAATTATTCACTGTGTCCTGGTAGCCAGGGTTTACGAAGTCTTACTAATGTCTTATAAAATTCTCAACTTGAAATGAATGATTAAACTCTTAAACCACTGACTTATGCATGTGAACCAGTGCCTAAGTGATCATTATGAAAAAGCAGAGCACCAAAACATGAAAAAAAGTCAGTTAAAAATAAAGAGCTTTTGTGAGAGGCATTGTCAAAAGCAGTTTCTGAACACTGTTCTACAACCTTGAATACAAAGTCATTTCTGTGATCTTATCAATTAGTTTACCATGTGCCTCATGTAAACTTCAAAGCACATTTCAAATAAAAAGATAATCACAGAGCACAACAGATTCAGAATTGTAATATAAAAAAAACTGAAAGAGGATGCTATAATTTTACCTTTGTTTACATTTTTTTCTGTTGGGACTCACTATTCTACCTGAGGCTTCCATGTAGCCCATTATTCCCATTGCCCTTAGAAGCAGACCACACACAAAAAAATTCAAACCCACACTCTCCCTGCCTCTCACCAAAGTGACATAAAATCATCTCCTGCAGGCACCGAGACACCTCTGACCACATGACTTAGAATTTTCAAGTCTACAAAACCAGAAGCCTAGTAGCATAAAAACATGTCACTACATGAAATAAAATAGGAATATAACTGAAATCTCCTGATCTAAGCAGGTAACAATTGAAGCTCATTAACAGACAAGTCTACCCAGAAAAGTGGAAAAGGGTAACTGATAGAGAACGAAATGTTCTGTTGGCAACAGCAGCCAGAAGAGAGAATTAAATTTCAAAATACAACTAATTCTTATGGCTTTACACTGCTAAGTCAAATATTTAGGGTTTCTTTAAAGATAACCTTACTGTTCCTTTAAATGCAAACTACTCTGAGGAAGGAAGAGACCGAGAAGTGCAAAAGAAAGCTCAAAAAAGCAGGAAGCTGTGCATTGTTACCAGTCTAGGCAATGGAAATTTTCTAGTAAAACTCAAAACTTTACTAATTTGTATGGATGCTTTTTTCCTGAAATGTTTCTAATGTTAACCAAAAGATAAATCTCAAAGAAACTTGAGGAAAATACCTACCGCAGGTGTTCCGGAGAAGTCTAGAAATAACAAAAGACTTCATACAGTATTCTTAAAAATAAGCACACAGTTCAGCTAACAAGAGAAGAGATAATACATGTAGAAATCTGGACAACAAAGAGAAAGTATCTAATCTTCTACGAAAATTATGCATGCGCTACTTTCACCAATACATACTGCAGCCTGGGGAACAGGATTTTATTGTAAAGAGAAATCAATTCCTTGGCAGAGTTTTGGGTATTCGGCCATTAAGGAAAAGAACACACTAAATTAACAAAGCCTACTAATAGGAGCCCTTTCGTTTGTCTTGTGTTATCTGTGAATGTCCTCCTTGAGTGCTTTTGAAAGAGTGGGTGGATTAGAATAGCATAGAAGTCTGCATTTTGCAGACAGGAACAGTAATGTGCAGTTCACAAGAATTGCACAGATTACCTTGTAACACAAAAAAAAAATGGCAATTCATGTCCAGTATTTTATTAATAATCTAGTCAATGAAGAGATTTAACCTAATAAAATATCCCCAAAGAACTCAATTCTTTCAGAAGCGTAGGATTCTGGATTTGAATTAAAAAAAAACCACCCCAAAAAACAATACACAAGCCAAAAAAAACCCCATCAAAACAAAAGGTCACTCAATCTTTGTTACCTACAGATCTTGAATGTGAAGATGCATCAAGATTTTCCTATTAATACTCTGGAGAAAACTCTACAACAATTCTCCAAATCAACGATAAACTGTTTAGTCACACTATATGCTTTTTGCCCTTTTAAAAACTCTGTTATTAAGACAGAAGGTTCATTTCTTCAGACCCATGACTAGGTAAACAGCAGAACATCACATGGGTCAGATAAAGCCTGTCTCTTATGAGTCCCTTTCTACTACTCCCAATAAAAGGATTAAACTAGCCGCTGTTTTTCTAGACCCAGAATTACATCATGAAATACATTTTGTTGTCTGATGACTAACTGCATTATGAGGAAGTAAAGATTGATATTCACTGAATAAGTAGTTTAGTTTAGTACTCCCAAGAGCAGCAGAATCCAGTACGAAATAGGTGAGAACCTTCAGTGAGGACTAATGAACTGGGTAAACAGGCCCAACCTATATGCTTGGTCTGCACAGGAGGCATTCTTGCATGATACCGATGACTTTTATAGTTCTAAAGATAAACATTTCTTACTTGCTAAAGACAGCCATTCTTTGCTTATAGAAATTATACCACAATGAAGAGCTGTCAAATTACTATTTTAGCAGTTTCTTCTTGTGGCTTCAAACCAATGACTGTGTATGTTTTTAAAGCATACTGTTACGTCCCATATCTTGCCTCAACCATGAGCTATTTTGCTCATCACACAACCAAAACACTGGACAACATAACAGATGGGTGAAGAGGAACACATTCTTCTCCCTTTTCCCCCACATTTTGTTTGGACAGTAATGCACAGAACAGTTCAAAATAAAACTATGTATGCAGATACACAAAGCATTGTTATCACTTATAAAAAAGAACGACTCGAAGGTAAGGAAATATGTGCAAGATGCATTATCTTTAGTGTGAATTATCTTCAGTATATGCCAAACATACCGCATTAACTTCAAAACACACGATTTTTGTGATATGACAAA